CATCACATATATATTTTTTAAATTCAAAATCTCTTTATTGATACTTAAAACCCTCAAACCATCCTTCGGATACTTAAAGAGTTACATATGTGTAGAAGAACTTTCAAGCGTGAATGGAGGGGGTGGTCCACGCACAAGGACTGATTAAGACAAGAAATTAAAAGCCATGTGTGCCCACTACCTACTTATTTTTTTTTTTTTTTAAATCTATAACAATGTTATGTTCCAAATAGCAAATAGCAGCTACACATAAAAGATTCATAAATGATATATTAGGCTTTTTTTATTGTACCTTTATTTTCATTTTTTAATCAAATTGGCATGGTATATCACTAAGCCACTAGCGAAGAAAATTTCTGCCATAAATATAATAATTTCAATAATCTCAAAAACCTAAGGCAACCAATGAGCTACAATTTTTAAATATCCATAGGATTCTTTATCATTATACCAATCTCAACATCAATAAAATACCAAAAACAATATACAAAACCGGAGGGACAAGTTACTTTAATCCAAATTATTCAGAAGAAATGAAGCAATGTCACTAAACAAAGGAATCCAAAACAAATGCATTGTTTTCAGCCTACAAGTTCACACACCAATTAATAGAAATAATCTAGTCAATGCATACTAAAGAATAGCTTCAATCATCGCTAGCACATCAGGAGATTATGAAAGATGCATAAGAATTTGCCCAAAGGAAGCATAACCCAACAAAGTCGTAGTTGATGCTAGCTCATAGCTCCCACAAAGAGATCATAGCACACAGGCTTGTCCTAGGAGAGTAGACCAAGGGTGCAATCATTCTTAATGATCTCCTCCATAGGATTTGCTAACACCAAACCATACCCTAAGGATCAACCAAGCTCGCTCACCCATAGTAATTGTTGTGATCAAGGATATTCGTCTATTGCAAATATCTCTTATTAAGCTACAGGAATAACACACCATTGAAGTCTATGACTACTACTTTATTGAATGAACTCATCCTTGGCTTGTAGATACTTTCATAAGGGGATTTGTTATTCACTCATAAAGATCTAATAGTCATTCCTAGTAACTCGCCTTTATTGAATCATCCCACGAGCTAGATCCCGAAGGCTATCCAAAGTCACTTGCCCATGAAGACTCGTCCAAGGCATTCACTTCAGAGGAGAGAGCCATATTAGAGATAATGATTCACATGTACATTGTCCAACTAATTCATGTGTCTATATAAGTTTGTAGATATCGCATTATTAATTATTTTCCACATTATATTCTATGTGTAGTCTTTCATACTATAACTAAAGAGTACGTTACTCTTTGAGATGAGACAAACTTTCACTAACTCTCAATACTTATTAATTTCACTAAATTTTTTAAACTCTTGTTGCATCTTGGAATATTCCTGATGGTAGAGAAATATAAAGTTTAAAATCTTAGCTTCATATAAAGATCCATCACACAATCAAATAAAAGAAAGGGTGTAACGTTCATAAGAGACATCATAGTTTTTATGTGTAAACCTCTGAAAAAGGGGAGGAAAACCATGGGAACTGACATAATTTGAACGAATCGACTACTGTTTGTAGTTAAATATTACAAATGAGGCCTTCCTTAGGGGGAAGGCTGTGACGCCCCAGAATCAATAGTGAAAGAATTCGTCTGACATTCTGATCGAACTCCATTCCAGTTGCCTTGCTCGGACCTGAAAATTTCAACCATATATAATGAGCTTACAAAGTCCAGCAGGTCACCAAAGCCTACAACTAAAATCAAAGCACGGCGATGCTATCAATATGCAAGTCAATCAATGGTCAATGAGTCTATGCAATACGGAAATCCATGATCAATAAAATCAAGTCTGCACAGCGGAAATCAAATCAATAGTCAATGCAGTACAGAAATCAATAGTCAATAATCGATACAGCGGTAAAAACATCGATAAATCAATACGTCTCAGCAATCAAATCAGTAAGTGCTTCAATCAATATCTATCCATCGTAGCAGTGTCTATCAATCAATACTATCAGTTCAATCAATCGTGTCGTCTAGTCAATTCATTGTATCTATATCATCTATCAAATCAATAGGATTCGACTACGAAAACACAAAACAGATCACAACTCGGTCAAAACACAATATCTTTGAAAACAGAAATAGGATTCGGAGTCCTTACCACGAGATCTACACTTTTCCCAACAGCAGCGTCGGACGAAAAGCGCTCCGCGGCCTCCAAAATCTAGCTTTTCCTCTTTTTCCCTTTCTCTTTCTCTCTCTAAAATCAGATATTTTGTTTTAAAAATGATTTTCTCTCTCCTCAAAACGAGCTCATTTTCTTATATCCTTAAGCTGATCGGCCCGGCCGATCGCCAAATCGTCCCGGGACGATCAGACCAAAAGCGATCGTCCTAGACGGTTCCCATAACTTATCTCAGGACGATATTTTAAACAGTATAGATCGGCCTGGACGATCTCATTATCGTTCCGGACGATCCTGGGAGGAAAATCCAAGCCAGAAAGGAACAGTAAGGGAACGGGATCTCACAAAGGCCTTGGCTTAGTGTAACAAATATGCATTATATATAGTGCATTATATGGTGGGAATTTGAAGAATTAGTATTGATATGTTTGTTTGGTCAGCAGGACCATAGTCAGCGAGCAACAAAGGTCAGAAAGACCGTAATATGATGACGGAGGTTGGAAGGACCATAGTTGGCCGACGACAAATGTTGAAAATATTTGTTGTATAAAGACGAATGTCATAAGGTCTGTAGTTGGCAGGCGAAGGTGGTCAGAAAGACCGTAATATGGCAACAGATGTCGGAAGGACCGCAGTTGGCGGGTGATGGTTGTCAGAAATATCATAGTCTAGCGATGGAGGTCGGAAGGACCATAGTCGCTGGGTGACGAAGGTCGGAAAGACCATTGTCAGTGATGGAGGTTAGAAGGACTGTGGTCGGCATTCGATGAAGGTCATAAAGACTATTATCAGGTGACAAAGGTCTAAAGGACTATAGTCAGTAGGTGACGGAGGTTGGAGAAATCATAGTTAGCAATGTTGGTCGGAGAGGCCATAGTTGGAGAATATCGATGGCCAAGCTAGAGTCCGGCAACATGTTGTGGTCGAGTGGAAGTCCGACGAAAAGTTGGTGGTTGTCCATAAGTATGGAAACTGTTGGTGGCCAAGCGGAAGTTTGGTGACAGTCGATGGTCGGCAGGACCATAGTCAGCGGGCAACGAAGGTCAGAAAGATCGTAATCTGGTGACGGAGGTCGGAAGGACCGTAGTTGGCCGACAACAAAGGTTGAAAAAAATTGTTGTATGAAGACGAATGTCATAAGGTCTGTAGTCGGCAGGCGAAGGTGGTCAAAAAGATCGTAATATGGCAACAGATGTCGGAAGGACCGCAGTTGGCAGGTGATGGTAGTCAGAAAGATCGTAGTCTGACGATGGAGGTCAGAAGGACCATAGCCGCTGGGCGACGAAGGTCGGAAAGACCATTGTTAGTGATGGAGCTCAGAAGGACCGTGGTCGGCATTCGACAAAGGTCATAAAGACTATTATCAGGTGACAAAGGTCTAAAGGACTATAGTCAGTAGGTGACAGAGGTTGGAGAAATCATAGTTAGCAATGTTGGTCGGAGAGGCCATAGTTGGAGAATATCGATGGCCAAGCTGGAGTCCTGCAACATGTTGTGGTCGGGTGGAAGTCCGACGAAAAGTTGGTGGTTGTGCATAAGTATGGAAACTGATGGTGGCCAAGTGGAAGTTTAGTGACAGTCGGTGGTGGGAGGAAGTCCAACAACGGCCGGTGGTCGGGCAGTGATCGAGGAGGAGCTTGGTGGCAAGAGAGATATCAAATTTCTCTTCGTCTCATCTCTTCTTTTGCTGCTCTCTATTCTTCCTTGTTGTATGAAGACGAATGTCATAAGTTCTGTAGTCGGCAGGCGAAGGTGGTCAAAAAGACCGTAATATGGCAACAGATGTCGGAAGGACCGCAGTTGGCGGGTGATGGTAGTCAGAAAGATCGTAGTATGGCGATGGAGGTCAGAAGGACCATAGTCGCTGGGCGACGAAGGTCGGAAAGACCATTGTTAGTGAAGGAGGTCAGAAGGACCATGGTCGGCATTCGACGAAGGTCATAAAGACTATTATCATGTGACAAAGGTCTAAAAGACTATAGTCAGTATGTGACAGAGGTTGGAGAAATCATAGTTAGCAAAGTTGGTCGGAGAGGCCATAGTTGGAGAATATCGATGGCCAAGCTGGAGTCCGGCAACATGTTGTGGTCGGGTGGAAGTACGACGAAAAGTTGGTGGTTGTGCATAAGTATGGAAACTGTTGGTGGCCAAGTGGAAGTTTGGTGACAGTCGGTGGTGGGAGGAAGTCCAACAACGGCCGGTGGTCGGGCAGTGATCGAGGAGCTTGGTGGCAAGAGAGATATCAAATTTCTCTTCCTCGTTATCTCTCTTTTCTGCCTCTCATTCTTCCTTGCTCACCCCCCCCCCCCATGAGAATGAAGCTATATTTGTAATTTTTTGGGATTGGCATGGCTAGGGAGGAGATCAATGGCATATTGGAGTGTTTTGAATCGATGGCCGATATCGACTTCTTTGATCATAGATATTTTATCGAGTATTTGAGTGCTTTAATTATGCCATACTTCAATGATCATAGGCTCGTTGGATTCTTCTCATCGAGCCGCTCGATTCGAATATATGCATGTCATGTTTGGCAACCGTTTGGTCATCCAATTTATAGTTTGAACTTTTCAAATGTACTTTGAGTATTTGATTTGGTCCCATTTGTTAAATGTATAATAAAATCCATCAATCTATGAGTGTTCTTCATTGAAATAAATTTGTGCACATAAAAATTTCGTCAATGTTGAAATTTTTAAAGAAATTTTAAGAAGGAAATAGTACTAATTTACTTATAAAATATATGAATATTTTAATCTTTTACATTACAAAAGCACCATCAAATAGCTTAACCAAACAAATATATATAATTTTTTTAAACAAATAAGGCTTTTAAGCTTTTACCGAACAAATTTTGATGCGCTGTTTTCTCAGCTTTTAAACCAGCTTTTCTAACATCAACAAAACCAAATCAGCCCTGCATAACTAAAGAAACTTTTGTCTCCCTAAATTTGGGATCGCAAATCCAAATCACCCAACAGGAAGCGGATTTCACCGGCGGTGATCTAGTTGCCTAATGTCGGCCGCCGGCGTGGAAAACAATCTCCTTGGCGGTGGTCATGAGGAGAGGATTACACTACTGCTCCTCTTCTCCTGCATGGTCGCCGCCTCCGGTGGACTCTTGTTCGGCTACGAACACGGCATCTCCGGTTCGCTCTCTGGCTATCTTGAGATCTTCCCTTACCACTTTTTCAAGTTTTGAAACAAAGCTACTTAATTATGCAGGAGGAGTTACATCCATGGAGTCGTTTCTCAAGAAATTTTTCCCCGGGGTCTACGCCGAGATGAAACAAGACAGCACAACCAGCAACTACTGCAAGTTCAACAGCCAGATTCTCACCCTCTTCACCTCCTCCCTCTACATTTCCGGATTCTTCGCATCCCTCGTAGCTTCCCACGCCACCACGAGATTCGGCCGCCTCTTTTCCATGCGCGTTGGAGGCGCCTTCGTCTTCACCGGAGCCGCCATCGGCGGCGCGGCAATCAACGTCTACATGCTCATTCTCAGCCGTATCCTCCTGGGTTTTGGCGTTGGTTTCACCATTCAGGTTTGAAATTTGAAAAAATATAATAATAATAATTTGCCTTTTTCCCGACCTTCAAAACCCGATTTTTTTTTCAGTCCGTCTCCGTCTACCTATCGGAAACGGCACCAGCAAGGTACAGAGGGGCAATTTTCAACATCTACGACATATGCCTCACCACCGCAGTACTGATAGCGAATATTGTCAATTACGGCAGCCAAAAAATCGAAGCTGGCTGGGGCTGGAGAATCTCCCTCGGTGCTGCCGCTCTTCCTGCCGCCTTCCTCTCCGTCGGTGCGTTCTTTATCCCCGAGACCCCCACCAGCATAATCCAACGCGGCGGGGATATCAATGAAGCCTCTAAAGTACTCCAAAGACTCCGAGGCACCTCCAACGTCGGCAAAGAGCTGGAACAACTCATCGCCGCGGCCGCCGAAGCTCCCACATCAACGACAACAGGCCTTCGCCCTCTGCTCAGAATCTTTCGACGAAATTACCGTCCCCAACTTGTAATTGGCATATCCCTCCCCATCTTCCAACAACTAGCCGGCATCAACTTGATTGGAGTCTACGCTCCGGTGATGTTCCGCACCATCGGACTCAAGGAAAGCGCCTCCCTGCTTTCGGCGCTTGTAACGAGACTAACAGCCACGGCTTCCAATCTCGTAGCAACGCCGCTCATCGACAGGCTTGGACGCCGCAATTTTTTCTTCATCGGCGGGCTCGAATTGTTTGTATCGCTGGTGACGGCGGGCAGCATAATGGCAACCCATCTCGGAGACCACGGCACGATGCAGAGCCAGTACGCACAAATTCTGCTGTTTGTTTTCTGTGTTTTTATTTCAGGGTTTTCGTGGTCATGGGGGCCATTGCCAATACTGGTACCAAGCGAGATCTTTCCCCTTGAGGTCAGATCAGCGGGGCGGAGCATTGGCGTGGCTTTAGGTCTTCTATTCACGGCGGCGATGTCGCAGATGATGCTCTTCCTGCTCTGTTACCTAAAATGGGGGATTTTTTTCTTCTTCGGTGGGTGGATGTTTCTTATAACAATGTTTGTCTTTTTCTTCTTGCCGGAAACCAAAGGTTTGAAGCTGGAGGAGATGGATCAACTTTGGAAACAACATTGGTATTGGAAGAAATTTGTGAACGACGAACCAGAAAACGAAAGGCTGCTGAGTGGTGCTGCTTCATTCGAGCCTATCAAGTAAATTAAGTGTGTAATATACTGATGAAACTATTTGTTGCAAAAATTACTGTGCTTAATTATAATAAACTATTGAGATGGATGCCTTCATCAATCCCAGAAGTGTGGGGCTTTGGGCGAGAATCCTCTATGCTACGACTTTGTCTTTTTAGTAGGGCAAAGTAAGTGTGTGTGAGCATGGGTGGAAATCCCACATCCCGGTTTGTCTCTTCAGTGGGACAAAATAAGTGTGGTCCCGATGCCGGTGGGTGGCTTTGTTAGGTTCCGCCGAAAGATTAGTTACGCCGTCAAACACTTTCTTTGAAAAGTGGCAGCGTGTAGGTACCCCCATTAAAAAAATATGTGCTTACTTGTTTGGCAATGATTGGGGAAAAGTTCACGAAATATATTGGTTTGAGTTCATTTGTAATAAAAATGTGATTATAGATTATGCTGTGAACATTTTTTTCATAAGGGATTTGTCAATAAACTTGAAAAAATGTAGGAAGTAATTGCATAAAGAAACTTTCTCATACATGTGAACGTCACTTTTGCTTCCAAGATTTGATAAATATAATATTAAATAAAATTAAATGAAATAGAAGTCGAGTATATTCTTTAAAAATAATGCTATCCTATGTTCTCATGAATTTCGGAGAAAACTTCTATCACAAAATTAGTCAGATTGAATAATATTAAGCTCAAATCAACATTCTTGGCTTTTTAATTTAATGCTCGTCATTTAAGATAAAAATATACCATCTAATCATTAAAGAAAAAAGTATGACTGCAAGTGAACCAAACGTTCGGCGAGCTATTCGTTGTTCGGTTCGATTAAAGCTCGTCTGTGATCATTTAATTAACTAAACAAACAAACTTGAACCCTATTTTAAATATTAGATTCTTAAATAAACAAACTTGAATACTAACGTGTTCGGCTCATTTATGTTCACAAACAATATCATTTGAATCTTGTGAACAAGCTTGACATTAAACTCGATAAGAAGCTCGATAAAAGTTCGATTCGTGTTCGATTTTGAACTCGTGAATAAGCTTGATCAAAATAAATAATATTTGATTTAGAACGCTTCTCCTTTCCATAAGAACGCCCTTTCAGATTGCTGCAGGTATAAGATATTACTTTAAGTAATTGTAGCTTTATATAACTATTTATTTATAAATCATTGCATTTGTTAATGCTATTGTTAGAAAAATTCTGTGAAAATGAGATTTGTTTATAAATCATTGCATTTGTTACGTAAACAATTACTTTTATTATAAATGTGTTGTTCATAGATATGTTCATGAACGTGTTGGTTTGATAGTTTTAAAAAAAAATTCGTTAAATATGTTCGTGAACATGCTCGATATAATTGTTTGTTAGGAAGCTCGATAAAGCTCGTTAGTTAAGTTAATGAACATCTAAAAGTAGAGCTCATTTATAACTCGTTCATGTTTGTTTGTTTAAAGCTCGATAAGCACTAAACGAATCGAAGATGAACTGAACACGAACCAAACACGAACACTCATTAATTTAATGAATCAAACATGAACACAAACAATAAAGCTCGAACAAACATGAACCAAATTTGAACAAGTTGATATTAAATTAACACAAACATGAACACTCACATACTCGGCTTGGCTAGGTTCATTTGCAACCCGAGAAAAAAAGGATCATACAGAGGGGTATTTACGACCTTCTTCCATCCTTTGCTTTGGTCTCGTTGTCTCATCAAAGCTGCGTGCCTTCAACTCAACCATTACTTTTGCTCCCGAGTTCCATCTAGCCAGCAGATTATCAATCGTACCCCTCATAGAGATTCTTATTTACTTATTACAACTTTAAGTCTTTAATGATAAATATCTGGCTAGACTTAATTACACGCCAATAAGAAGTTAAAGAGCCATTATTCCACATGATGAAAGGGTCACCATTCGATTGCCTTGGATCCTGAACATGTAGTACAAATTTAGAGAATTATTGGGCTTATGAATATTATCCATATCTATGAGCACAAATTTTAAAGCGTGTATAAAAATAGAATACAATTCAGTTCAACTTAAATGAATCAGTGGTCCAAATTAATTAGGTAAATTTTGATGTTATGGGAGTAAGAGAGAGGAAGCATGTCTAGGCCAGTAATCACACCATATTAAATTGTACTCGATCTTGGTCTCTTGGCCATTCTTGTTTGATTAGGTTCTCTCAACCATCATTGTCTGATTTTTCTCCTAAATACTGTTGTTCGATCGTCATCTTTTAATTACAAACACCCACTCATTTCATTCTCCACCATCGTCAATAACATCGATGCACATCATTATATATAAAATCGATGCACGTATAGTCGATGTCATTTCTAACACCCGTTGTTATTAACAATGTCGAAGCTAGCATGAAGTGATAATAAGAGTGAGGCATGCATGCAATCCACACTAACTTCAACTTCTTATGTCAAAACTTCTTAATTTCTTATCTTCTTTCCTTAAAATAAAATGATCAAACTTATCACAAATGATATTAAAGAAATAACACAAAGGTCTCATGGTTCCTCTAGCTTTCAACATAAATTTTATCCTCCACGTCCATCTCTTTCCATTGTATCAAAAAATTATCTAATTATGAGGAAAGTTATAATCATTTATAACCTAAGGCATACGCTAGTGTGATAATTTTAAATAGGTCAAACCCCCATAATTTTTTTTCCTTTCTAATTTTTTTATGAGAAATATTATATTTTTAGCAACTCACTTTTAAATCTTTATAGAAAGTTACAAGAGTAAATTTTTACTCTTTATTGCAGCAAATAACAATTATATATTGTCAAAATTTGCTTATTCTATTTCCTATCAAGGAGCTTAATTATATACACTAGCACTTTTTTTTACTATTTAATTTGAAACTATTTAAAAATCTTTGTGTGATTCAAAAGTTACGTCGTCTTTATAAAATTTTCAACCATTTATTCAATTTATTTTTCATATTTACATTATTATTTTTGGGTAAATGAGCGCAGAGCTCGATTTCATTTATAACCATAATAATTAAATCTGTGAACCAAAAACATCTCTATGAATGAGAAAAATAAAACTATCCAACAATGAAGTGATCATAAATTGGAAGAATAAAGCACAAAAGTGAAAATATGAGATTAGTTCTCTTATAACCATAATGGGAATCCCTAGGTACTTAAAACCATTAGCTTCCAATTGAAAATTAATAATGAAAGCTAACTGTTGTTGACTAAAATTATAGTGAGAGAAGACAATAAAATTTTTGCAATGATTTATTTGCAAACCAGAGATAGCTGAGAAGTGAGATAAGATGCTCTTAAAGGGCATGATGTTAGAAGCAGAGGCTTTTCCAAACATGATAAGATCATTAACATAAAGGATATGAGAGAGATTCAAATTGCCCAACTTAATGTCAGATTAAACATTATCCATAATAATCGAGTCTAGAGGACAAGATAACTCATCAATGACAATGCTAAATAAGTTAGGAGAAAGCAGACAACCTTTTTTGAGACCAACTAGGGAATTAAAAAAACCTTGAAGGGAGCCATTAATATAAACTGAAAAGAAAACATTATTGATGCAAGTTTTAATCCATGACATGAAAGTGCCAGGGAAACCTTTTTGTTGCCATATTTGAGTAAATAATTCTCTAGAAATCGAATCAAATGCTTTGAAAATATCCACTTTGGCCCCAAAGAGGCCATGATTTTGCTTTCTTTTGAATTTATAGAAGATTTATTTAGCCAACACCACATTACCAATAGAAATACAATTAGCAATAAACCCAATTTGAGCTGCACAATGATATGCATAAAATGTTAAGTTTAATTCTAGAAGCAAGAAACTTAGCAATAATTCTGTAAAACACATTGTATAAAGATATAAGTTTGAAGTCACTAATATTGTTAGAGTGATTCCCTTTAGGAATCAAAACGATCCCAGTAGCTTTTACCTTTTTTAGGGAGATAAACTTTCAAAAAAAAAAAAAAAAGTTTCACAACCTCGTAAACCTAAACACCAATAATATCTCGATTATCAAAATATAAGCGAAATGTAATTCCATTCGACCTAGGGGGTGAATTTTTGTTTGCAAAAAGAATAATTTTTGAGATCTCAGAATCTTAAATAGGAGCCACAAGTAGAGAAGCAAGGTGTGAAGTGATGACTTTGTCATATTGGTGTAACTTCCCAAGAGGTCATCCATCACAGGATTTCTCTGGGTAAGCACACTTAACATCCTAGGAGATGATTTTGGGATAGGCATACTGATGAGGATGTTAATTATTTAAGTGGAGATTGTGAAATCCCTTAAGAAAAAAAAAACTAACATCTTAACATCGATGCACCTTTTTGTATAATAGTTAGAATTTTATTTAAAAACTTTGTAGTTAAGCATACTCATCCCAGAGAAATCCTACGATGGATGACCTCCTAGTAAGTTACACCAATATTACAAAATCAGGAGGCCTTAGGCCAAAGCAGTTAATATCTCTATAATTATGAGTTTGGGCTGTAACATAAAATTTGAAGAAAAAAAAAAAAGCTAAGGGTGTTGGTTAAGTTAGAACCTGTAGCACAACACTCTATCAAGTTTTATATGTTTCAATTGGCCTTGTCTTTTATTGAATAGGGTGAAAAGTAACCTAAAGTAAGCAAATTTATTCAAAATTATATTAAAGATCATGGTGTTAAAGTTGTGGAAACCTGAAGGTATAAGGGAAACCACACCTTGCTTTTCAGCGATAGATCTGCAATAGTTAAAATCTCCTAAAATAATCTAAGATTGATTAATATCATTGGAGATGAGTGCTAATTTTCTCAGCCGCTCCCATAACAACCTCCTATCCTCAATAGAGTTAAAAACATAAACAATAGTAATAAGGAAAGTTTGGGAGGAAATAGATGATATAAGTTCATGTGTCATCTAATTGTTAGCATAAATGAGAGTGAAGTTGATACAATCCCATTTCAACCAAATCCTTCTAGGATTATAAAGGTAAAAATTATTGTAACTATCTTCCAAATCAAATAACTTATGAGAAAGCAAGAAGCTTGAGTCAGATAAGAGGTTGGATCCAAATTTAGCTCCTAAAA